CAGTGGTGATATTCGAAATATTTAACAAAGGGTTCGCTAACAGAAAATTTTTCCTTAACAAATTTTTTTCGCTCGCATTAGCAACATTAGCGCAAAAACGGACCTTAAGATACCCATATAAATAAAAAAAAATGCGTTCGCAAAATTAAGTCAGTTAAAATTTAACATTGTTTATGCCAGAACTATATTTTTTGATAAATAATAAAAAAAGAGTGTTCAAAATGGTTTATTTTGTACATATTTTAATATTTTTCATTCAAAATATTTTATAAACATAAAAATTGGCGTTTTTTTAATCAGAAAAAGTCATGGGGAAAGCAGGGGCCGTATTCTGGTCATTGTCTCTGGTCTCTCGTCTCTCGCAAGCTGGTCGCTGACTGCTAATCATTTAAATTAGCCAATCAGCGACCGGCTTGCGAGAGATGAGAGTCCAGAGACAGTGACCAGAATATGGCCCCAGGTTTAACTGCTTTCCCTATGACTTTTTCTCAAGAAAAAACTTTTCTAAATCATTTATTTTATCCTTAGGTATTATCATAATAATAGACAGATGTTATCATTTCTCGAAATACAATATTTTTTTTTATTTCGCTGTCGATAGCACGACACGTGTTCCGCAGCCATCTTGTATTTTCTCGCGCGCTTGGGATCTCTCGTATGATTGGACCTAGTTTCAAGAACTCTCTTCAATCGATCGCGATTAAACCTGGTTTCAGTCGAGATTGAAACGGTCGATGGAGGTTGCACCAAGGCGAACGGGGTATAAAGCTCTAGTTTAGTAGTGTTACAGAGTATAATACGTATATTTTAATATATTTTNATGATGCAGGCAGGACAGTCTTTACCTCACACCCACGGATGGATGATGCAGGCAGGACAGTCTTTACCTCACACCCACGGATGGATGATGCAGGCAGGACAGTCTTTACCTCACACCCACGGATGGATGATGCAGGCAGGACAGTCTTTACCTCACACCCACGGATGGATGATGCAGGCAGGACAGTCTTTACCTCACACCCACGGATGGATGATGCAGGCAGGACAGTCTTTACCTCACACCCACGGATGGATGATGCAGGCAGGACAGTCTTTACCTCACACCCACGGATGGATGATGCAGGCAGGACAGTCTTTACCTCACACCCACGGATGGATGATGCAGGCAGGACAGTCTTTACCTCACACCCACGGATGGATGATGCAGGCAGGACAGTCTTTACCTCACACCCACGGATGGATGATGCAGGCAGGACAGTCTTTACCTCACACCCACGGATGGATGATGCAGGCAGGACAGTCTTTACCTCACACCCACGGATGGATGATGCAGGCAGGACAGTCTTTACCTCACACCCACGGATGGATGATGCAGGCAGGACAGTCTTTACCTCACACCCACGGATGGATGATGCAGGCAGGACAGTCTTTACCTCACACCCACGGATGGATGATGCAGGCAGGACAGTCTTTACCTCACACCCACGGATGGATGATGCAGGCAGGACAGTCTTTACCTCACACCCACGGATGGATGATGCAGGCAGGACAGTCTTTACCTCACACCCACGGATGGATGATGCAGGCAGGACAGTCTTTACCTCACACCCACGGATGGATGATGCAGGCAGGACAGTCTTTACCTCACACCCACGGATGGATGATGCAGGCAGGACAGTCTTTACCTCACACCCACGGATGGATGATGCAGGCAGGACAGTCTTTACCTCACACCCACGGATGGATGATGCAGGCAGGACAGTCTTTACCTCACACCCACGGATGGATGATGCAGGCAGGACAGTCTTTACCTCACACCCACGGATGGATGATGCAGGCAGGACAGTCTTTACCTCACACCCACGGATGGATGATGCAGGCAGGACAGTCTTTACCTCACACCCACGGATGGATGATGCAGGCAGGACAGTCTTTACCTCACACCCACGGATGGATGATGCAGGCAGGACAGTCTTTACCTCACACCCACGGATGGATGATGCAGGCAGGACAGTCTTTACCTCACACCCACGGATGGATGATGCAGGCAGGACAGTCTTTACCTCACACCCACGGATGGATGATGCAGGCAGGACAGTCTTTACCTCACACCCACGGATGGATGATGCAGGCAGGACAGTCTTTACCTCACACCCACGGATGGATGATGCAGGCAGGACAGTCTTTACCTCACACCCACGGATGGATGATGCAGGCAGGACAGTCTTTACCTCACACCCACGGATGGATGATGCAGGCAGGACAGTCTTTACCTCACACCCACGGATGGATGATGCAGGCAGGACAGTCTTTACCTCACACCCACGGATGGATGATGCAGGCAGGACAGTCTTTACCTCACACCCACGGATGGATGATGCAGGCAGGACAGTCTTTACCTCACACCCACGGATGGATGATGCAGGCAGGACAGTCTTTACCTCACACCCACGGATGGATGATGCAGGCAGGACAGTCTTTACCTCACACCCACGGATGGATGATGCAGGCAGGACAGTCTTTACCTCACACCCACGGATGGATGATGCAGGCAGGACAGTCTTTACCTCACACCCACGGATGGATGATGCAGGCAGGACAGTCTTTACCTCACACCCACGGATGGATGATGCAGGCAGGACAGTCTTTACCTCACACCCACGGATGGATGATGCAGGCAGGACAGTCTTTACCTCACACCCACGGATGGATGATGCAGGCAGGACAGTCTTTACCTCACACCCACGGATGGATGATGCAGGCAGGACAGTCTTTACCTCACACCCACGGATGGATGATGCAGGCAGGACAGTCTTTACCTCACACCCACGGATGGATGATGCAGGCAGGACAGTCTTTACCTCACACCCACGGATGGATGATGCAGGCAGGACAGTCTTTACCTCACACCCACGGATGGATGATGCAGGCAGGACAGTCTTTACCTCACACCCACGGATGGATGATGCAGGCAGGACAGTCTTTACCTCACACCCACGGATGGATGATGCAGGCAGGACAGTCTTTACCTCACACCCACGGATGGATGATGCAGGCAGGACAGTCTTTACCTCACACCCACGGATGGATGATGCAGGCAGGACAGTCTTTACCTCACACCCACGGATGGATGATGCAGGCAGGACAGTCTTTACCTCACACCCACGGATGGATGATGCAGGCAGGACAGTCTTTACCTCACACCCACGGATGGATGATGCAGGCAGGACAGTCTTTACCTCACACCCACGGATGGATGATGCAGGCAGGACAGTCTTTACCTCACACCCACGGATGGATGATGCAGGCAGGACAGTCTTTACCTCACACCCACGGATGGATGATGCAGGCAGGACAGTCTTTACCTCACACCCACGGATGGATGATGCAGGCAGGACAGTCTTTACCTCACACCCACGGATGGATGATGCAGGCAGGACAGTCTTTACCTCACACCCACGGATGGATGATGCAGGCAGGACAGTCTTTACCTCACACCCACGGATGGATGATGCAGGCAGGACAGTCTTTACCTCACACCCACGGATGGATGATGCAGGCAGGACAGTCTTTACCTCACACCCACGGATGGATGATGCAGGCAGGACAGTCTTTACCTCACACCCACGGATGGATGATGCAGGCAGGACAGTCTTTACCTCACACCCACGGATGGATGATGCAGGCAGGACAGTCTTTACCTCACACCCACGGATGGATGATGCAGGCAGGACAGTCTTTACCTCACACCCACGGATGGATGATGCAGGCAGGACAGTCTTTACCTCACACCCACGGATGGATGATGCAGGCAGGACAGTCTTTACCTCACACCCACGGATGGATGATGCAGGCAGGACAGTCTTTACCTCACACCCACGGATGGATGATGCAGGCAGGACAGTCTTTACCTCACACCCACGGATGGATGATGCAGGCAGGACAGTCTTTACCTCACACCCACGGATGGATGATGCAGGCAGGACAGTCTTTACCTCACACCCACGGATGGATGATGCAGGCAGGACAGTCTTTACCTCACACCCACGGATGGATGATGCAGGCAGGACAGTCTTTACCTCACACCCACGGATGGATGATGCAGGCAGGACAGTCTTTACCTCACACCCACGGATGGATGATGCAGGCAGGACAGTCTTTACCTCACACCCACGGATGGATGATGCAGGCAGGACAGTCTTTACCTCACACCCACGGATGGATGATGCAGGCAGGACAGTCTTTACCTCACACCCACGGATGGATGATGCAGGCAGGACAGTCTTTACCTCACACCCACGGATGGATGATGCAGGCAGGACAGTCTTTACCTCACACCCACGGATGGATGATGCAGGCAGGACAGTCTTTACCTCACACCCACGGATGGATGATGCAGGCAGGACAGTCTTTACCTCACACCCACGGATGGATGATGCAGGCAGGACAGTCTTTACCTCACACCCACGGATGGATGATGCAGGCAGGACAGTCTTTACCTCACACCCACGGATGGATGATGCAGGCAGGACAGTCTTTACCTCACACCCACGGATGGATGATGCAGGCAGGACAGTCTTTACCTCACACCCACGGATGGATGATGCAGGCAGGACAGTCTTTACCTCACACCCACGGATGGATGATGCAGGCAGGACAGTCTTTACCTCACACCCACGGATGGATGATGCAGGCAGGACAGTCTTTACCTCACACCCACGGATGGATGATGCAGGCAGGACAGTCTTTACCTCACACCCACGGATGGATGATGCAGGCAGGACAGTCTTTACCTCACACCCACGGATGGATGATGCAGGCAGGACAGTCTTTACCTCACACCCACGGATGGATGATGCAGGCAGGACAGTCTTTACCTCACACCCACGGATGGATGATGCAGGCAGGACAGTCTTTACCTCACACCCACGGATGGATGATGCAGGCAGGACAGTCTTTACCTCACACCCACGGATGGATGATGCAGGCAGGACAGTCTTTACCTCACACCCACGGATGGATGATGCAGGCAGGACAGTCTTTACCTCACACCCACGGATGGATGATGCAGGCAGGACAGTCTTTACCTCACACCCACGGATGGATGATGCAGGCAGGACAGTCTTTACCTCACACCCACGGATGGATGATGCAGGCAGGACAGTCTTTACCTCACACCCACGGATGGATGATGCAGGCAGGACAGTCTTTACCTCACACCCACGGATGGATGATGCAGGCAGGACAGTCTTTACCTCACACCCACGGATGGATGATGCAGGCAGGACAGTCTTTACCTCACACCCACGGATGGATGATGCAGGCAGGACAGTCTTTACCTCACACCCACGGATGGATGATGCAGGCAGGACAGTCTTTACCTCACACCCACGGATGGATGATGCAGGCAGGACAGTCTTTACCTCACACCCACGGATGGATGATGCAGGCAGGACAGTCTTTACCTCACACCCACGGATGGATGATGCAGGCAGGACAGTCTTTACCTCACACCCACGGATGGATGATGCAGGCAGGACAGTCTTTACCTCACACCCACGGATGGATGATGCAGGCAGGACAGTCTTTACCTCACACCCACGGATGGATGATGCAGGCAGGACAGTCTTTACCTCACACCCACGGATGGATGATGCAGGCAGGACAGTCTTTACCTCACACCCACGGATGGATGATGCAGGCAGGACAGTCTTTACCTCACACCCACGGATGGATGATGCAGGCAGGACAGTCTTTACCTCACACCCACGGATGGATGATGCAGGCAGGACAGTCTTTACCTCACACCCACGGATGGATGATGCAGGCAGGACAGTCTTTACCTCACACCCACGGATGGATGATGCAGGCAGGACAGTCTTTACCTCACACCCACGGATGGATGATGCAGGCAGGACAGTCTTTACCTCACACCCACGGATGGATGATGCAGGCAGGACAGTCTTTACCTCACACCCACGGATGGATGATGCAGGCAGGACAGTCTTTACCTCACACCCACGGATGGATGATGCAGGCAGGACAGTCTTTACCTCACACCCACGGATGGATGATGCAGGCAGGACAGTCTTTACCTCACACCCACGGATGGATGATGCAGGCAGGACAGTCTTTACCTCACACCCACGGATGGATGATGCAGGCAGGACAGTCTTTACCTCACACCCACGGATGGATGATGCAGGCAGGACAGTCTTTACCTCACACCCACGGATGGATGATGCAGGCAGGACAGTCTTTACCTCACACCCACGGATGGATGATGCAGGCAGGACAGTCTTTACCTCACACCCACGGATGGATGATGCAGGCAGGACAGTCTTTACCTCACACCCACGGATGGATGATGCAGGCAGGACAGTCTTTACCTCACACCCACGGATGGATGATGCAGGCAGGACAGTCTTTACCTCACACCCACGGATGGATGATGCAGGCAGGACAGTCTTTACCTCACACCCACGGATGGATGATGCAGGCAGGACAGTCTTTACCTCACACCCACGGATGGATGATGCAGGCAGGACAGTCTTTACCTCACACCCACGGATGGATGATGCAGGCAGGACAGTCTTTACCTCACACCCACGGATGGATGATGCAGGCAGGACAGTCTTTACCTCACACCCACGGATGGATGATGCAGGCAGGACAGTCTTTACCTCACACCCACGGATGGATGATGCAGGCAGGACAGTCTTTACCTCACACCCACGGATGGATGATGCAGGCAGGACAGTCTTTACCTCACACCCACGGATGGATGATGCAGGCAGGACAGTCTTTACCTCACACCCACGGATGGATGATGCAGGCAGGACAGTCTTTACCTCACACCCACGGATGGATGATGCAGGCAGGACAGTCTTTACCTCACACCCACGGATGGATGATGCAGGCAGGACAGTCTTTACCTCACACCCACGGATGGATGATGCAGGCAGGACAGTCTTTACCTCACACCCACGGATGGATGATGCAGGCAGGACAGTCTTTACCTCACACCCACGGATGGATGATGCAGGCAGGACAGTCTTTACCTCACACCCACGGATGGATGATGCAGGCAGGACAGTCTTTACCTCACACCCACGGATGGATGATGCAGGCAGGACAGTCTTTACCTCACACCCACGGATGGATGATGCAGGCAGGACAGTCTTTACCTCACACCCACGGATGGATGATGCAGGCAGGACAGTCTTTACCTCACACCCACGGATGGATGATGCAGGCAGGACAGTCTTTACCTCACACCCACGGATGGATGATGCAGGCAGGACAGTCTTTACCTCACACCCACGGATGGATGATGCAGGCAGGACAGTCTTTACCTCACACCCACGGATGGATGATGCAGGCAGGACAGTCTTTACCTCACACCCACGGATGGATGATGCAGGCAGGACAGTCTTTACCTCACACCCACGGATGGATGATGCAGGCAGGACAGTCTTTACCTCACACCCACGGATGGATGATGCAGGCAGGACAGTCTTTACCTCACACCCACGGATGGATGATGCAGGCAGGACAGTCTTTACCTCACACCCACGGATGGATGATGCAGGCAGGACAGTCTTTACCTCACACCCACGGATGGATGATGCAGGCAGGACAGTCTTTACCTCACACCCACGGATGGATGATGCAGGCAGGACAGTCTTTACCTCACACCCACGGATGGATGATGCAGGCAGGACAGTCTTTACCTCACACCCACGGATGGATGATGCAGGCAGGACAGTCTTTACCTCACACCCACGGATGGATGATGCAGGCAGGACAGTCTTTACCTCACACCCACGGATGGATGATGCAGGCAGGACAGTCTTTACCTCACACCCACGGATGGATGATGCAGGCAGGACAGTCTTTACCTCACACCCACGGATGGATGATGCAGGCAGGACAGTCTTTACCTCACACCCACGGATGGATGATGCAGGCAGGACAGTCTTTACCTCACACCCACGGATGGATGATGCAGGCAGGACAGTCTTTACCTCACACCCACGGATGGATGATGCAGGCAGGACAGTCTTTACCTCACACCCACGGATGGATGATGCAGGCAGGACAGTCTTTACCTCACACCCACGGATGGATGATGCAGGCAGGACAGTCTTTACCTCACACCCACGGATGGATGATGCAGGCAGGACAGTCTTTACCTCACACCCACGGATGGATGATGCAGGCAGGACAGTCTTTACCTCACACCCACGGATGGATGATGCAGGCAGGACAGTCTTTACCTCACACCCACGGATGGATGATGCAGGCAGGACAGTCTTTACCTCACACCCACGGATGGATGATGCAGGCAGGACAGTCTTTACCTCACACCCACGGATGGATGATGCAGGCAGGACAGTCTTTACCTCACACCCACGGATGGATGATGCAGGCAGGACAGTCTTTACCTCACACCCACGGATGGATGATGCAGGCAGGACAGTCTTTACCTCACACCCACGGATGGATGATGCAGGCAGGACAGTCTTTACCTCACACCCACGGATGGATGATGCAGGCAGGACAGTCTTTACCTCACACCCACGGATGGATGATGCAGGCAGGACAGTCTTTACCTCACACCCACGGATGGATGATGCAGGCAGGACAGTCTTTACCTCACACCCACGGATGGATGATGCAGGCAGGACAGTCTTTACCTCACACCCACGGATGGATGATGCAGGCAGGACAGTCTTTACCTCACACCCACGGATGGATGATGCAGGCAGGACAGTCTTTACCTCACACCCACGGATGGATGATGCAGGCAGGACAGTCTTTACCTCACACCCACGGATGGATGATGCAGGCAGGACAGTCTTTACCTCACACCCACGGATGGATGATGCAGGCAGGACAGTCTTTACCTCACACCCACGGATGGATGATGCAGGCAGGACAGTCTTTACCTCACACCCACGGATGGATGATGCAGGCAGGACAGTCTTTACCTCACACCCACGGATGGATGATGCAGGCAGGACAGTCTTTACCTCACACCCACGGATGGATGATGCAGGCAGGACAGTCTTTACCTCACACCCACGGATGGATGATGCAGGCAGGACAGTCTTTACCTCACACCCACGGATGGATGATGCAGGCAGGACAGTCTTTACCTCACACCCACGGATGGATGATGCAGGCAGGACAGTCTTTACCTCACACCCACGGATGGATGATGCAGGCAGGACAGTCTTTACCTCACACCCACGGATGGATGATGCAGGCAGGACAGTCTTTACCTCACACCCACGGATGGATGATGCAGGCAGGACAGTCTTTACCTCACACCCACGGATGGATGATGCAGGCAGGACAGTCTTTACCTCACACCCACGGATGGATGATGCAGGCAGGACAGTCTTTACCTCACACCCACGGATGGATGATGCAGGCAGGACAGTCTTTACCTCACACCCACGGATGGATGATGCAGGCAGGACAGTCTTTACCTCACACCCACGGATGGATGATGCAGGCAGGACAGTCTTTACCTCACACCCACGGATGGATGATGCAGGCAGGACAGTCTTTACCTCACACCCACGGATGGATGATGCAGGCAGGACAGTCTTTACCTCACACCCACGGATGGATGATGCAGGCAGGACAGTCTTTACCTCACACCCACGGATGGATGATGCAGGCAGGACAGTCTTTACCTCACACCCACGGATGGATGATGCAGGCAGGACAGTCTTTACCTCACACCCACGGATGGATGATGCAGGCAGGACAGTCTTTACCTCACACCCACGGATGGATGATGCAGGCAGGACAGTCTTTACCTCACACCCACGGATGGATGATGCAGGCAGGACAGTCTTTACCTCACACCCACGGATGGATGATGCAGGCAGGACAGTCTTTACCTCACACCCACGGATGGATGATGCAGGCAGGACAGTCTTTACCTCACACCCACGGATGGATGATGCAGGCAGGACAGTCTTTACCTCACACCCACGGATGGATGATGCAGGCAGGACAGTCTTTACCTCACACCCACGGATGGATGATGCAGGCAGGACAGTCTTTACCTCACACCCACGGATGGATGATGCAGGCAGGACAGTCTTTACCTCACACCCACGGATGGATGATGCAGGCAGGACAGTCTTTACCTCACACCCACGGATGGATGATGCAGGCAGGACAGTCTTTACCTCACACCCACGGATGGATGATGCAGGCAGGACAGTCTTTACCTCACACCCACGGATGGATGATGCAGGCAGGACAGTCTTTACCTCACACCCACGGATGGATGATGCAGGCAGGACAATCTTTACCTCACACCCACGGATGGATGATGCATGCAGAACAATCTTCAGCTCACACTCACGAATTGATGATGCAGGCAGGACCGTCTTCAGCTCTTACTTACGAAGAAATGATGCATGCAGGATCGTATTCAGCACACACTTATGACTGGACGATGCAGGCAGGGCTGTCTTCAGCTCACACTCAAGAAGGCATGATGCATGCAGGACAGTCTTCAGCTCACACTTATGACTGGACGATGCAGGCAGGGCTGTCTCCAGCTTCTACTCACGAAGGAATGATGCAGGCAGGATCTTCCTCATTTCAAAATCCAAGTTTAACTCTGGATGAACAAAGAGACTTCGAAGTGAAAAAGAATAAAAGAAAAAGATATACGCCGATAAAATCAAGTTGAACATGAATTCAAAAATTTATTAGAATAATTATAGAATTCTGTAAAACGAAAAGTACCGATGAAACGAACATATTTAAAATTTTATTTCGGCCTATATTCGCAAATTTTTAAATGATTTTAACTGATTTTTATTGAATATTTGTATTTTGAATAATTTTGCAATTAAAAACAGCTTTTATTTTATTGAAAATTTATTATTTTATTGATTTAATCGAAGGGAGGCATTCAAACGTCAAGACTACACCACAGCGATAACACAGTCCAATTTCAGATAGGCATTATATGCAAAAGAGTCAGTGACTTATTTTGGAAGACTTGTGCTTTGTTGAGGCAACATAAATCAGGCTTGTGTTTTAGTACTTTGGTATATACAAACTTTAATCTAAGGAATGAAAAGATTCGAAAAAAATAGAATGATGTCTTTATGGACGGTCTTTAAAGAATTCGGCTCCTTTTCTCACACACATTGAAGACGAAGTGATGCCGCCTCAAGGTACAGATGTGTGTGTTTCGTGTCTGACTTTCAAAGAAGAAAGATTAACTACTGGTCACATAAATTTAAAGTTCGGTACTAAATGCAATACGCGTGAGCAAGTAAGATGTAAGTTCTGATTGGCTAACTTATGCCGGATGATCACTCCTCAACGTATTATTATCACTTTGCCCGACTAGGTGGTAGCAGTATTCATAATGACCGGTCAATTTGATAAATTATTGAAATTTATTACAATGCCCGATTTTGTTGGTCATTATTCATAATGCTCATATTAATCACTTTGTCCATAACATATATAATACCAAAACTTGAGGTTATCTTCACCAGTGTGAGAATAACCGGAGGTAGAATTATATAAGGTCTCTACCTCTTACCGGCAACCGATCCACAAGATTCGTTTACTGAGTCGTAGGATGGCGATTTTATGTGGTCGTTAAGAGAAGAGGTAAAGACTAGGGGATGTTAAAATCGTCCTCTCCCGTCAGGATTCCCGACACTAGATAGAAGGGCTGACGATGAGTGAGTTGAGTCGCGGTAAGCTCTTGGTTCGAGATTAATCGACAGGGCCATTACAAAACAATAACAAAATTTAATAAAACAAATGAAGTAGAATAGAAGATTCTGAGAGACCATTAAATTCTTAGATTAATCTATTCGCGCGAGAATGAGTTTACAATGTTAGAATTATACTACCTCAACTTATGTAGCATACATAAGCTTCTCAGAGTCGGAGAATTCGGAAGGTGGAGAATGAATGCGGGATCGCCTTCTCTTATGAAGGTGCACAAGTTAAAATAATGCGACGGAAAATGGTTTTATGGCAGGGACTACAGTAGTACGTGTGGCATCTTAGGGTCTTCGAGAACTGCCCCGAATGTGTGAAAATCCCCCTTTATAAAAGGCTATCTGCACCATAGCGTTCAAGGGACACACGGGATGTGTAACGAGTGCAGAGAGTAAACTGATATATAGATAAGGCCGTGTGAGAAAGGAAGTTGATTTCCTTTTTCTCCAAAAATGACGCATAAAATTTCCTTTCATATAAATAACTTATGTACACATTTAATGTATTTTTTGTGCTAAATTAATTAATAAATCGCGGTTCTCACACCAGCATGGCAGGAGATAAAAACCAGGAAATTGTCACACAGCTGAAAACGGAGGAGTTAATAAAACATCATTAGAGTGCAGACCTGTACTGTAGAACTTCAGATTGTATTAAAAGAAAATTCATATAAAGCGATTGTTTACATTAATGTATGAAACGTTGTGACAATTTTTTATTCATGCACTGAATTACTTTGAATCAAAAGTGACACCACTTATTTTGTAAGATTATAGAATGGTAACCGTGACCGTTTACATACGCGACTGCGTGTATCTGTGAAGATGATATTTTAATGTGAGTGCCATCAATAGCTTCTACTACACCTGGAAGAACACTCTTGTTAGAAAAACTTTGACTAATTTGCTGCGCTTGCTTTTATGAAGACCATTTTATAAACTGTTGTACAAGTTCTGAGAGAGCAGTGATGAGAGACCGATATATTAAATATCTTATTACTACATGAAAATTATTACGAAGAGGTTAATGTTGATCAACGTAAACTGCAGGTTTACTAGTTTAAGTTATTTCGTAGTGTAGCGGATTCTTTAAACTTACAATCGGCAATCGATCTGCAGACATTATACTGTGTATTACAAAATTTCGCATCGAATAACAAAATGTCCTGTTTCGTCTCTATATAGAAGACACGTGCATAATTTTGACTAAATTTACTCAACTATATCTTTATTTTCAGAAAAAATTTCTGTTTATTCTTACTGTTTCATCTGGTAGACCAAACAAAACATAATGTTATATAAGCTACCGACAGGTATTTGTTGTTGTAAAAAAGACAATGAACTGATATTAAACACCGTGTTTTAAATACACTAATTTTGAGTACAAAAAAAAAACTCAATAATTCACTTAAAGTGCAATATTTCACTTTAAAAATTTAATAATCAAACAATAACTTCAATAATTTTTGGTATAGTACTTATTATTATAGAAAGAATACTTAAAATGGTTTCGTATACAGATATCACTCGTATAATACGATAGTTACGTTCTAAAAAAAGCGCGTGTTATGCAAATACTGAGCGACTTTTTTTCAAAACTCATGTTCGAATACAGAGTTGTTCGAGTACCGAGATACCGCTGTATATTTTTCTTTATTTTAACGAATGATTTTAAAAATAAAACAAGGAATTGCTTTTACTTTGAGGCCGAAATCGATTCAGTAAAATAAATTATGTAAATTAATGATACGTCAATCCTTTGCCAAATTCTTATAACATTGGTTGTTCTATGAAACCAAAATAAAATAAAATTTATTGATTATTCGCAAAGAGTTCAAAATTCTATTCATTTATCACAAACACAACTGAAGTATATTTATGGTAATTAAGCAGCAACTGAACCGATGCTTGAGAAGGAGATACGTGGAAATTGGAACCTTGTGAATTTTGAAAAAAAAAGTTGCCGTAAGTATAAAAATAACGTTAATTTATATTTTAAATTCGAATTACATTAAAATATTACCGAGGTCTTTGATAAAATTAGTAAACATTTCTTTATACCCTAAAGAGATCAGTTAAACTCGAAGATTTATCGTGTACAAGGCGTATTTTCTTGTCTATTAGTTATGTTTTAATGGCAATTTGTCAACTAAAAAAATTATGCGATATTTAATGGCACAGAATTGCAGCTTAATAAGCATTTCTTTTGCTTACTGCTGTTCTACACTTTGAACGAGTGCCGAAAAAGTGACTGCTTCTACTCTATACATAACAAAACCATTTTCGATTATGGTTCTTCACATTGATTCTGAAAATTATTGAACTCTTTTTTAAATATTAATCTCGAAGCATGTATTTGTATCGTTTATTTTTACTTTCTATCCCTTTAATCATCATAGAAATTTCAATAAGATAAATGATCTAAAAAGGGTAATTAATGCTAGTGATAGAAATTAACGTATTAGATAGTGAAAATAGTATAGCCCCAAAATTTTATTTAAAATTGTTAATTTATAGATATATAAATTTCCACTGTCTTCTGTCTGTCTTTTATTAATCTGGAGAAAAAGAATACCTTAGAGATAGAAGGCCCAAATTAACTACATAGTATTTTTCGGTGTCAACTGGAAGTTACATTGTCATTGTATCACGTACTTTATTACGCACTTCATACTTCTTAATTACTGCTACGTTTCGATTTCTTGTTTCAACCGTTTATTTAATTCTAAATATATGTTACTATCTGGAGTCTATTGTTTAAAACTCATATTCTCGACTAATGTGTATTTTATTGCTTCCCAATGCAGAAAAATGGAATATACTTGTTCAGATTGCGGAATGACATTTTCTGAAAAAAGTGCATATCTTGATCATCAGACGACTCATGCAGAAAAGACATTCAAGTGTGATAGGTGCTTACTAGTATTTCAAGATTCAAAACATTTAGATATACATAAGAAAATCCACTCAGAAGTGAGCTGGCATATGTGTGAAATATGCAATTGTGGATTCACTGGAAGAAAAGCTTTCGAACAGCATCAAAACACGCATACAGAAAAACAACAATATACATGTATAACTTGCGAGCAGATATTTCAAAATGATGGAGATTTACAAAACCATGTAAAAAGTGTACACAAATCTGAAAGGTCTAATTATATTTGTGAAATATGTAATAAAGAGTTTGATGATATAACAACGTATAAGATGCATTGTACACTTCATCAAACCTCAAAAAAACTAGTGAGTGAAGCAAGACGTTCTCCATATAAACCCTTCAAGGTACCATTGATGCAAGCAGCAGGACATTCCTTGCCTGAAATTGAAATCTTGGAAGTACGAGAAGTGCAAGCAAGACCTTCCTCACCTGAAATTGAAATCTTGGAAGTACCGCAGATGCCAGCAAGACCTTCCTCACCTGAAATTGAAATCTTGGAGGTACCACAGACGCAAGCAGGAACTTCCTCACTTAAAGCCATGCTGGTATCACGGAGAAAAGAAAGACGTTCCTTACCTAGAACCTTGCAGGTACCACAGAAAAAAGCAAAACATTCCTCATCTCAAGCTTTGCAGAAACCACTGACACCCATGCCAATTAGTGAATTCGAAAAACTATTTACAGAGAGTAAACGTAAAGAGCCTGATTCAACTAAAGCCATCCGAGAATTATTGGGCCAAGCAGAACCTTTCTCACAGCAAACCCTGCAGGAACCATTAGTGCAAGCAGGTCCTTCCTCAACACAAACCTTGCAGGAATTACAAATGCAACCAGAGACATCGTTAACCTCAACCACGGAGGAATTAAGACAGTTAGAAGGAACTTCGTCTGCTCTGATCCAGCAGGAACCACAAAATCAATCAGAACCTTCCACAACTCCAGACCCAGAAGCAGTACAGATGCTTGTACAAAGTTTGCTTTTTCGAATCTTGCAGGATCCACAAGTGCAAGCAAGACCGTTGTCAATTTCAAACCAGCAGGAACTATTAGTGCAAGCAAGTCCTAGCTCAACAGAAACTTTGCAAGAATCTCAAATGCAAACAGGACTTTTGCCTCCATTTTCTACTTTCAAGCATTCTTCCTCAACACAAACCTTGCAAGAATTACAAATGCAAGCAGAAACTTCGTCAACCTCAACCTCGGAGGAATTAAGGCAGTTAGAAGGAACTTCGTCTGCTCCGATCCAGCAGGAACCACAAAAACAACCAGAACCTACCACAACTCCAGACATGAAGATAGTACGGGAGCTTGCACAAAGTTTGCCATCTCCAATTTTGGACAAACCACAAGTACAAACAACACCGTTGTCAATTTCAAACCAGCAGGAATCATTAACGCAAGCACGCCCTTCCTCAACACAAAACTTGCAGAAACCATCAATGCAACCAGAACCTTTATCAACCCCAACCCTGGAGGAACTAAGGGTGTTAGAAGAATCTTCATCATATCCAATCCTGGAAGACGTAGACAGGCTTGTAGAAGCTTTTTCAGTTCCAATCTTGCAAGAACCACAAGTACAAGCAATACCGTTGTCAATTTCAAACCAGCA